GCTGGAGAGACATTGAGACTATGTGGGGGCAGAGGCCAGCTGAGGCCAGGACTCCCGGCTTGTGAGAGATACTGCCCCAGACCCTCCAACCCAGCCCAGCCATCAGCTTGACATCACTGAGTGATCCCAGTTGATCCCACATAGAGCTGAAGAGTCAGCCAGCTGAGCCCAGCCCCAACTGCTGACAGAGCTTCTGGTGCAGCCCAGACACAGGATGCAGAAAGTCAAATTGGTACAGGTTTGGCTCCTTTGATGAGTGTTTTCCTAGCTGCACTTTGGGCGTAAAGAAGGCAGAGCACCTCCATGTGCAGGCACACCCACGGAGCAGTGTCTGCAAACCTGCTGTGGCATACCACACAAGCTAAGAATGTTTTTCACAGATCTAAATTATTGCGATAAAATCAAAACAGAAATTTTATTTCATGACATGTATAGAGTACATGAAATTTACATTTAAGCATCCAGAATACATTTTTGTCTGCACACAGCCAGGCTCGCTTGTTGTCTATGGCTGCTTAAAACAGCAGAATTGAATAGTCCCAACAGAGATCCTATGACTCCACAGCTGAAAATGTTTGCTATTGGGCTGTTTACAGAGAGAGAGTGCCAACCTCTGCTCTACAGACAAGCTGTTTTGCTGGGGATAAGGCAGGGAGGGGTCGTTCTAAACACAGTGAAATTGGTGGATTGTCAAGATACTTCAAATATCCCCAAATAGATGCATACATTTTTAAAATCTGTCTATAATAAGATTTGTCCTTTAGATTTATTATAACTGTAAGCAAATCCTTTTTAATTTTTTTAACAGATGTATTGAGATATAATTAAACAGCATGAAATGTACTCATTTGAGGCATACAATTCAATGAATGTTAGTATACTTACAGAGTTGCACAGCCAGCGCCATAGTCTATTTTTAGAACATTTCCATCACCATCAAATAAACCTCATACCCATTAGCAGTCACACTCCCCATCCCACTCTCAGCCCTGGGCAACCACTAATCTTCACTTCCTTTGAGAGCACAATTATGCATTTCTGATTCGTCTTAAAGAACCTTATGTCCTAAGTTGTCTTTCCAATTCTCAGCAAGTGATGCTTGGCACCTCTCTTCCCACCAGTGTCCTTAGCATATCTGGTTTATATACACTCAGAACACCATTTCCTAAACTGTGTTCCATGACCTACCAACCCCACAGAGCAGAGATTGCTAGTTTTCCTCTAAAGTCTGTTTCCCCTGCTGTGGTCTGTGTTACACCACTTGACTTTAGCTGGGCACATGACTGCCCAGCAAAAACTACATCCCCCAGCATCCTTTGCAGCTAGGTGTGTCATGTGATTGGATTCTGGCCAATGGGAAGTGACGGGTCCAACTCCTGGGAAATATCCTTAAAAGGGAAGGGCTGTGGGGTGTAAATGGACAGGAGGCCAAGAAAGCTGGCTAGGTCCCACCCCCCCTTAGCCCTTTCCTGCTGGCAGGAGCACAAATGTGGTGATGATGAGTCATCATCATCACCCACATCAACAAGGCTAACACCCGGGAGAGGCAGGAGCCTAGGTCTGTGGATTAGCTGGTAGAGAAGACCCCATCAGCCCTGGGCCACTGGCATCCAGATGCTTCCGTGAGAAAAACAGAACTGTCTGTCTGGTTCAAGTCACTGTTAACCTGAGTCTTTGTCAAGATGCCAGACTTGTATCCTAACAAATACAATCCACAAACAAAACAGAAAACAGAATCCCCTGCTTGAATTAGTAAATGCTGCCTGTGATATCCGCCACATGTCAACTCCTGATGCGGATTAGTTTCTTAAAGGTTCTGAAAAGCTCTGCAGCAAAGAAAGCAGTTAAACGCCATGTGAGTCCACAATCCCCAAATGTCCATGGGTTTTTTGTTTTTGCTTTTCACCTCCTCATAATCCATACAAAACCCTCTGGTAACTTCCAATCTGACATGATAGAGATGTTGCACATAGTTAAGCAAAAGAGAGAGGGAGAGAATGATATTTGGACTGATTTTTCATTCAGGGCAACAGAGACTGATCTGCTCTGAGCCCTGAGGATCACATGCCCAGTGTCCTACAGGGAATGGCGGGTTGCGGTCACGTGCCCCACCCCAGAGTAATAGGGTTTGCAGAAATACAACGTTCATCTCCAGCTCTTACAGGAAAAGTCTTCCCAAATACATACAAAGAAAGGGATGACAAATATGTTCTTGCTTCCTATGGTTCAGGAACTTTTCCTTAATTAAAAGCTAAGTTTTATTTCTGTAGGGATTTGACTAGAATATCAGAAGGCGTCCCTGCATTCAGCTTTGCAGTGTGTGGTTTATCTGCAGTTATCTCCCTGCATTAAGCTGCCCAGGGTCACACAGCTACTAAGTTGCTGAGCCAAGATTTGATCATGGGTGTGCTAAAAATATATATATTTTTCTCCTACAAAAGGACTGTGTCCTCAGAGACTGACCCCCTTCGTGAGAGGAAGCTGTGACTTTAAGACCCAGATCAAGGCTTTCAGAGCAGGAGTGACCCGGGCCTCACCTTTAACTGGGGCCAACGTGTCTGTCCCAGGGTAGCGAGGTGGTTAAAAGTTCACTGTCTGCATCTGGAATCAGACTTCCTGTGCTCAAACCCAACTCCTCAACTTCTGAGAGCAGACTTGGGCCAATCATTTCACCCATCTGAGCCTCAGGCTCCTCATTTGTAAAAACCCAGTAATCATCTGAATCGCATCTCGGGGTGCCAGGAACATTGAAGGCAACACACTCTAGTAAAGCAGGGCATCCGTGTGCTCTGTGGCCTGGCACCTCCACCCCTGCCTGCACCCCCGCTGACCCGAAGGTGCGTGTCCATCCAAACAGGTATCAGAATGCCTAGACAGCACCACGTATTAGCACCCAGACCAGAAATCACCCCACACCCATCCCCGGGACATGAAGGGGCCAGCTGTGCTGTGTGCAGCTGTACAGTGACAGACCCCACAGTGGGAACGAATGGGATGCTGCTACACACAGCAATTCAGAGGACGCTTGCAGCAGTGCGAGTGAGCACGGCCCAGCCCAGGCGCCAGCTGTGAGAGCCTCCCACAGACTGCTTGAGGGCAGAGCTCCCCTTGGCCCTGGTGTTAGAAGTTAGAGGATGGTCAGCTGGGATGCGGACGTGGTCAGCCCAGGATGGTGGGGGTTGGTCAGCCTGGGATCGGGGAGGTGGTCAGGCCAGGATGAGAGGGGAAGGTCAGCCGAGGGGGCCGGGGGAATCAGCCAGGGATGGGGGTGGTCAGCCCAGGACTGGGGAGGAGGCCAGCTCGGGATGGTGGGGGAGGTCAGCTTGGCATGAGGGATGCCATCAGCCCGGGATGGGGGGTGCAGTCAGTCCATGATTGGGGGGCTCAGCCCAAGGTGGGGGTGTGGTCAGCCAGGGATACGCGGAGATCTAAGGGCTGGTCACAATCTCTTTCTGGCTGTGTTTACTATGGAAACATATAAGGATATAGATGTAGAGAGATACAGATGTAGAAAGATATTACAGATATAGATGTAGTTAGATGTACATATAGATATGTACATTAGCTATAGAGATAGATATCAATTGACATCATATAGATCTCGATGATAGACATTACAGATATCGATGATAGACATAGATGCAGATATAAACAGACATTATAAGTACAGATACAGATGAGGTATAGACAGCTATAGCTGCAGATGTAGATGTAGATGTAGACAGCTGTAGATACAGACATCAGATATAGACATGGACATAGGTGTAGACAACTGTAGATGTAGATGTTGGTGTAGACAGATGTAGGTATAGACGTTGACATAGATATAGACAGACACAGATGTGGACATGGGTATAGACAGATGTACACATACGTGCCCATGTATAGACACAGGTGTAGACAGCTGTAGATGTAGATGTATAAAACTTCAGTAGAAGTTTCCCTGTAAAGTCCTCACTCGATGCAGTGCCTGTTTCCAAGAAAGCCAGGTCCCCTCCACCGTGTGCTCTTTGTTTGGGGCAATGCTAACACACACACTTTGTATAAAGTGGTATCTCTGATGCAAATGCAAGTGCTGTACTCTGTCGCCCTGAGTCTCCAGCATTGGGGTCTGTTCTCACCATTCCCATCCTCTCTAGGCTGGAACGGGGCCTGTGAGAACCCAGCAGTCAGCACAAGGGGGATCCACCAGCTTCCCTGGGTGGCTTAAGCAAGCAGCTTTCATCTTGCACGTGGCCCAGGGCGAGGCAGGAGGGCCCTGGAGGAGCGTGGCACAGGAGGATCCCACACTGAGGTGAGCAGGCAAGGCATGCACGGGGCTGGGCCGCATGGCCTGAGGGAGACCCCTCTCAAGGCCCAGGGGAGCTCGAGGCACAGACAGCCCAGGCCTTCAGGATCTACCCGAGCAAGAAGGAAGTGGGTTGGAGAGGGAGCCTGGCAGGCAGGCAAGGCCCTGAAGCATGAGGCAGCTTCTGAAAGCATGAGGCTGTGACACTAACCGTGCAGCAGCCAGGAAGCTGGAGCCCCAGATGTGGGATGTGGGATGAGGGCTGGGCCGGGCAAGACTGCAGAGCCCAGGTGAGCAGCACAGCCATCCTGGGCTTCCTCTAACACGAGGGCTAGGTTTGAGCAAGCGATGGGCAGGCTGCTTAGGGACCAGAAGTGCCCTTGATTATAGGGTTGAGTGGCCCAGGGTCTCCCCCCAGCCCCCGCCCCACCCTTCTCACGGCCCTTTGTAGGATCTCTGGGGCTTTGCAGAGTGCTGTGCAAAGCTCTGGGAGAGAGGACCACTGTGGTGGTTCATCTTAATCTGAGGTGCCAACTTGGCTGGGCCACGGTACCCAGATGTTTAGTCAAACACGTCTAGATGTTGCTGTGAAGGTATTTTTTTAGATAAGACGAGCATTTAAATCAGTAGGTTTTCAGAAAAGCAAGTTACCCTCCACAATCTGGGTGGGCTTCACCCAATCAGTTGGAAGTCTTAAGAGAAAAAGACTGACCTCCTCCGAGGAAGAGAGAATTCTGCCAGCAGACGGCTCTCAGAGTTCAGGTACGACAGCAACTCTTCCCCGGATCACCAGCCTGCCAGCACATCTCGAAGATTTTGGACTTGCTGACCTCCACAATCACATCAGCCAATTCCTTTAAATAAATGAATAAACAAATAAATTTATATTTACATATAGATTTGTATATATCCTACAGAGTGTAAACCCTAAATATCCAGGACATGTCTCAGTTAATTTAGAAAGTTTATTTTGCCCAGGTTGAGGATGCGCCCGTGACAGCCTCAGGAGGTCCTGACGACATGTGCCCAAGGTGGTCGGGGCACAGCTTGGTTTTATACATTTTAGGGAGACATGAGACATCAACCCATATATGTAAGATAAACATTGGTTCGGTCCGGAAAGGCAGTGGGAGGGGGCTTCCAGGTAACAGGCAGATGAGAGACCAATGGTTGCATTCTTTTGAGTCTCTGATCAGCCTTTCCAAAGAAGGCAGTCAGATACGCATTTATCTCAGTGGGCAGAGGGGTGACTTTGAATAGAATGAGAGGCAAGTTTGCCTGAAGCAGTTCCCAGCTTGACTTTCCCTTTTAGCTTAGTAATTTGGGGGACCCAAGATTTCTTTTCCTTTCATAAGAGACAGATAAAAATAACAGAGTAAGATAGAGATAGATAAAAAGGGAGGGAGAAAGAGAAATTAATGGATGACAGATGGTGGCTGATGGATAGGTAGATAGATGATCGATAATAGATAGACGATGGATGGGTAGGTAGAAAGAAAGAGAAAAGGATGGATAGATTGATTGATATATAGATAAATGGATGGATGACAGATAGATGAATAGATAGACTGATGGATGGATGGATGGATGGGTAGACTGATGGATGGATGGAGAGATAAATAATGGATTATGAATAGATAGGCAGGAAGAGACAAAAAGATAGATAGACAGATAGATAGACAGACAGACAGACAGATAGACAGATAGATAGATAGATAGAAATGGTTGGATAGATTGACGAATGGATAAAGAGATGGATAGATTGACGGATAGATGATAGATGGATAGATAGACTGATGGATGGATAGATAGAAATGTATAAATAGATAGATGATAGATGGATAGATAGAAGATAGATAATAGATGACAGATGGATAGATAGAAGATAGATAGATCATAGATACATAGACAAATAGATGGATAGATGGATGATGGATAGATAGGTGGATACATGGATACATATATAGATAGAAAGATAGGGCCGGGCACGGTGGCTTATGCCTGTAATCCCAGCACTTTGGGAGGCCAAGGCAGGTGGATCATGAGGTCAGGAGATTGAGACCATCCTGGTTAACACGATGAAACCCCATCTCTACTAAAAATACAAAAAATTAACCAGGTGTGGTGGCAGGTGCCTGTAGTGCCAGCTACTTGGAAGGCTGAGGGAGGAGAATGGCGTGAATCCGAGAGGCGGAGCTTGCAGTGAGCCCAGATCATGCCACTGCACTCCAGCCTGGGCAACAGAACAAGACTCCATCTCAAAAAAAAAAAAAAAAAAGAAAGAAAGAAAGAAAAAAAGAAGACTGATGAATAGATAGAAGATAATAGACGATAGATGGGTAGAAAGATAGATACACGGATACATGGATGGATAGATGGATGTGGATAGAGACAGATAGATGAAAGATAGATAGATAGTGATCCTCCGATTGGTTCCGTTTCTCTGAGGAGCCCTGACTGACACTGTTGGGAAAGTTTCGGGGCATTTGTTGGAGCTGCAGAAAGAGGAGGCAGAAGGGAAGTTTTATAGCAAGAAGACAACAGTGGACCTGGGGCGGCTGCAGAGCTGAAACCCCTCGCAGGGCCGGACAAGACCTAAGGGGATGTGCCATCTCGCTGTGACCTCCTGCTACTGTACAGCAGCTGACAGTTCACTGTCCAAAGTGACCACTTGTCTGCCGCTGGGTCCGAGGACCTGACAGTGCCAGGCACACAGTCGGTGCTCAGTAAGTAGAAGACGGCTGCTCTCAGGTCTGAGTCTCTAAGGTGGACCATGCTGCGCTTCCCATGGCTCCCGCACACTTCTGGGCACACAGTGTTTCTCGGTGTGTTTTGGCTTCGTGCCCTTTTCTTAGGTTAGGGTTCATCTGGGTAATTCATTTCTTTGAAATGCATTATAAATATACATATTCATGACAGCAGGGGATTTAACATTATTTATTAATATTATTTGATATTGTAAGGATCACATGAAAAGCTCTAATATTGTTCCTGACACAGGGACGTCATTTTTTTTTTTTAACAGAATCTCACTGTCACTCAGGCTGAAGTGCAATGGCATGATCTCACCTCACTGCAACCTCTGCCTCCCGGATTCAAGCAATTCTCCCGCCTCAGCCCCCCAAGTAGCTGGGATTATAGGCACACATCACCCAGCCCAGCTAATTTTTGTATTTTTAGTAGAGACGGGGTTTTGCTATGTTGGCCAGGCTGGTCTCGAACTCCTGACCTCAAGTGATCCACCTGCCTCAGCATCCTAAAATGCTGGGATTACAGGCATAAGCCACTGCTTCCAGGTGAATTTTTAAAAATGTGTTTCCCTTAGAAGTTTCATGGAATGAAATGTTAAATAGCCAAGTAGTAAAGAGAGTCCCCTAAAATAAAGTGTTTAAAATCTCTGTACCCGCTAGAAGCAACAGTGTGGATGGACCACTCGTTCTGCTGAGAAAGAAGGGAGCATTCCATACAGCCCTGCTACATCCAAGTCAAGAAACAGTGAGGCTGGTGGCCAGGCGCAGTGGCTCACACCTGTAATCCCAGCACTTTGGGGGACCGAGGTAGGCAGATCATGAGGTCAGGAGATCAAGACCATCCTGGCTAACACGGTGAAACCCTGTCTCTACTAAAAATGAAAAAGAAAAAAAAAATAGCCGGGCATGCTGGCAGGTGCCTGTAGTCCCAGCTACTTGAGAGATTGAGGCAGGAGAATGACGTGAACCCGGGAGGCGGAGCTTGCAGTGAGCCGAGGTCGCTGCACTCCAGCCTGGGCGACAGAGCGAGACTCCGGCTCAAAAAAAAAAAAAAAAAGAAAAGAAAGAAAGAAAGAAAGAGAGAGGCTGATCTACAATGGCAGAATCAGATGGAAACACCTCACGTGGAAGGGGCGGTGTCCACTGAGGGTGTCCGCTGGGGATGCGCCACACATGCACTGGTCTGGGTGACAGCTGCGCGGGGGTGTGGGTGCTGGAAAAGCCCCTGTATGGCACCCTGGGGTGCGTGCTCCCCACTACATGTGACTCAGTAAAAATTAAAGACCAGGCTTAACCTAAAATGGATATTAGATAACAAAGGATTGAAATGATTTTAATAATTTTTTTTTTTTTTTGGAGACAGAGTCTCGCTCTGCCACCCAGGCTGGAGTGCAGTGGTGTGATCATGACTTACTGCAGCCTCCACCTCCTGTGTTCAAGCAATTCTTCTGTCTCAGCCTCCTGAGCAGCTGTGATTACAGGCACCCACCGCCATGCCTGGCTAATTTTTGTATTTTTAGTAAAGACGGGGTTTAACCATGTTGGCCAGGCTGCTTTTGGACTTCTGGCCTCACGGGATCCACCCACCTCAGCCTCCCAAAGTTCTGGGATTACGAGCATGAGCCACTGCGCCCAGCCAATTTTACTAATTTTTAACAGGAAAGTCATCTCCACGATTCTGGAGTCTAAACGCATTTTAAAGGTCTAGATTCAGAAGCCTTGTCCCCTTCTGTCCCCCACCTCCTGCTTCCTCAGGCGAAGCTCTGCACACAGCCCCCAGCAGGGTCAACGCGCAGCCCCCCTCTCCTTCTCAAGTGAATATTTGCAGCGCACTCACTCGCTCTTCCTTATCGTGCTTTTTTCACTCAGCAGCCTGGTCTGGGAGCCTCCGTGTCAGTACACAGAGCACTTCTGCAGCCTTTGAGGGACATGAGTTTGTACCAGAGCAGCTGCAGAGGTGAGGCATGGGTTCTCCACGTTGCCCTCCGTCTGCATCACATCTGGGTGAGACCTGTGTCTTTCCTCTTTGGTGTTACTTACACGTTTCTCACAACTTGAAATTTGGAACTAATATGTGTGGCATCCTGTACACAAGCACAGGTCAGGACTGGACTTCTCAAGAGTTTGTTGAGGCCTAGCGTGGTGACTCACGCCCACAATCCCAGCACTTTGGGAGGCCAAGGCGGAAGGACTGCTTGAGGTCAGAAGTTCAAGACCAGCCTGGGCAACATGGCGAAATCCCACCTCTACAAAAAAATCACAAAAATTATCCAGGCATGGTGGCCTGCACCTGTAGTCCTAGCTATTCAGAAGGCTGAGGTGGGAGGATCACCTGAGCCTGGGGAGGTCAGGGCTGCAGTGAGCCATGATCACACCACTGCATGCCAGCCTGGGCAACACAGTGAGACCCTATCTCCAAAAACAAGAGTTTGTTGAGGCTGAGGTAGAGGCTGGGGCAAATCTGAGGGTAAAGCCTGGGGTAAAATTTGGGGGGTAGAACCTAGAGAAGAGGCTGAGAGTGGAGGCTAGGGGAGGGAAGTTGGGGGTGGAGTCTGGGTGGGAGAGGCTGGGGGTGAAGGCTGGGTGGAGACTGAGAGTGGAGACTGGGGGTGAAGGCTGGGAAGAGGCTAAGAGTGGAGGCTGGGGGAGATTGGAGGTGGAGGCTGAGGGTGCAGGCTGGTGTGGAGGCTGGAAGGAGGCTGAGAGTGGAGGCTGGGAGTGAAGGCTGGGGGAGTTTGGAGGTGGAGGCTGAGGATGGAGGCTGGAGGTAGAACTTGAGGGGTGGAAGCTGAGGGTGGAGGCTGGGGGTGAAGGCTGGGAGTTGAGGTGAGTTTGAGGGCTATGGACTCAGATCTGGGTTTGACTGCAACCCTGCCTTTGTCAAAGGGCTCACCTTCTCTCACTTAACAGATCCTTATCTATAAAATGGTACTGATAATACTCAGCTTTTGTATGTTATGCAAATCAAACAAGATAACACATACTATTATCCATTTAAGTCTGAGGGTTCCTCCTGGAACCCTCACCTCAAGTGCAGAATATGAACAAGCACGGGTTAATGGACTGCTGTGCACCGACTTGAGGAGTCTACGTTTCCA